TGTTTAAAGGCGCGACTTATAGTTAGCGCTAAAGGAGGCAAAAGGTCAGACAACAGGTAAATGGGAGGAAAGAAAATCAACAGCATTGGTGTGACGCAAACGAAGCTGGAATAAAAACTCATAATAAGTAATCGAATCTTTTTTAGTGAATGTTAATGAATTATTGGCTTTTGAAAGCCATGATCTTCCCGAAGATGTCTGCGGCTGGTATCGGCTGGACTGGGCCGTTGAATTTACGCGGCAAGGTGTCGATAGTGCATGGGCTGAAAGCGATATCAATAAGGGCTATACTGTAAGTTACCATCCATATTTCGTTCACATTCTTACTCTTCATCAAAATCAGAGGTAATTTTCAGAGTTGTGACACGTATCCCGAACGCCTTTGGCTGCCTATAGCTGCCAATAAAAACACTCTCATGGGTTCCTGCCGTTTCCGTTCGCGTGGGAGATTGCCAGCTCTCACTTATTTTTATAAGCCGAATGGAGCTACTATTTGCAGGTGAACCCTGTAGAAAATAATTGAAAGTTTTTTTTATAAAGCCAGTAAAAACATTCCGGTGCTTTCGGTATTGATTTACCCTTGTTTGGATGCGCCATGCATCCTAGTTCGATATAGAATTGTGCCCTCATAAGAATTGGGGAATTTGCTAGTGTAGTAACTGGCGATCTCCGTTGATGTCCAAGTCAGTGTTTTTCAACCCATTCGGAAGAGTCCGGTACCAATTCAAGGACGTATTTCACGATAAAAAAGCGCCCATTGGAAATAATGGTAGAGATGGTCAGTGATGCAAGAAAGAAGAAAAACCATGAGAAACGGCCCAGAACCCGAGAAATGGGACCCTTCCTTGCCCGTTGATTTGCGCATTGATGCGACTCTCATGCTGCATGCCATGCTATATTGCCGGGCCATATCTTCGATGCGAATTGCGTGTCGGTCCGCGCCCTTAGGAGATTCGCCTGTCTCTCCTCTAAGGGAGAGTTCCCCTTCTCCGTCCTTATCGTGGAATCTTCCTTCAAGCAACAAACCCAGATCGAATTGGTGGAGTAATAGCGGTCATTCATAAAATATGGATGCCCTTGACTGAAAATTTAACACATTGACGAAAAAAAGTATTAATTAACAGAGTCCTTGACTTATCCCTCCTCGTTCATCTTGAGGAGAGGAAGCGGACATGTTCAGCAAACTTCTTGATTAGCTTCATAACTAGGAACCGCACAATAGCATCATGTGATGCGTGCAACATATCTATTTAGTCTTAACCGGCTATCTTATCCACTACGGCTACATGGGGTGTGTTAACCAAAAGACGGATGCACTGAAGTTTTCCCCAACCCAGCGCCTTATAACGGCTTTTCAAAGCTCTTTTTGCTCCAGCAACATTTCCTATCGTCTCGACTAGGGCCCACGCATCTTCCTACTCTGGATTACTAGCAATAGTGTGGACCCATCTGGGGTTGTTGCTTCAAATGGACAAGAGGAATGGAAGGCATGCTCGTCTTGGATCTGTTTAGGATCTTACTTCGGAATCACTTGCTACTGCACCATGTGCGCCCCACTTTTTTGATATTGAAAGTAAGAATGTAATACGAAGTGGCCAAATTGGAACTCTTCAAGATTTTTGTGGGATGATATCTCTTATTGAATAAAAAAAGACATGAAAAAGGCTGCATAGTTGTCATTGATTTTTGTGTTGTGTGAAAAACGCCTAACTGCGATGTCGTGCTGTCTAGACAGGTGTGCTAAACATAACACCTTTGAAAGCTGTGGTACCTTTTTGATTTGCGTTTCGCTCTAACTCTGCATCAATATGATAACTTCCTGAAGTGCGACGAACAACAGCAGTAAACAGAAAGTGGATAGGTGGCAACATAGACAAAGGTCCCACAATTTCCCTCCAGGGTGGCCACTATTGTGCATTTCAATTTAAGGCAGAATTTACGATGAAAAGTTAGCTCATTGGAAATAAGGGTAGAGGTGGTCAGTGGAGCAGGGATGAAGAAGAAACCATTTGAAACGGCCCGAAACCCGAGAAATGGGACCCCTTCCTTGCCCGTTGATTTGCGCATTGATGCGACTCTCATCGCTGTGCCCTCTTCAACACTACGCTCTCTCTGCTATCTAATCACTCGCCACGTATAGACCTGCGGCGAGTGATTAGATAGTCGGTGGGCGTACCCCGCCAACCGCGCCAAGAGTGAGCCATGCTAGATCGCCGAGGTCAAATCTTTCGCTGCCAATTGCGCGTCGGTCAGCCTGTCTCTCAACTGTGCAATTTCCCCTTCTTTGACCTTCGATCTTACCGTGAATTCCTCTTTCAAAGAATTTGAATAGTTAATGAAGAATCATCAAACCGTTAATGCACATCGTCGTCAGCAGCGTTTGGGAGTAAATCATAAAACCTTATATTATTGGAGGACTAGACAGGACAGGTGTAGGAAAATCTGGTGCAAAAGGCGGATAAGCACTGTCGTATATTCAAAAAATTACTCTTCCTTTGCACGTATTTATACACTCAATATCATTGCAACTTTTCGTCAGGTGCGCACAGCCGTTAACTGGATTTTCGGCACGATGTGTTGAAGATGAAAAGCTCATGGAATTAATTGGACGAGCGAATACGAACTGCGACACGCTGTTCCTCGTCGACACCAGACCCATGGTCAGTGTTCCTTCATTCCGTGATCAGA